GCACACCTACCTCTTCCCAGTTTAGTTTGTTCCACCTACAGCAAGCAATCTGACCTTGACTTGTTCTAATTCTGATTACTATGCAAACACACTTATCATCCAAACCCAAGCATAGGAAAGAACAGTTGGTCCTATTGAAAAATAATGATAGCAGTTTATTCAGGACAGAGATTAAAAGCTGTCTTTCTACTCCTCTCGTGAGACTGAATGGTACCAATGATTTCTCACAATAATTTATGGTGTTTACTCAGAACAGTTGTTGTGACAAGATTAAAGGCAGGATCTGTTTCTTTCATGAATGTGTTTGTTTCTTTTCTTTTTTTTCTTCATCCTGTCGCCATTAGCGGTGAAATATTTGTATGTTTGCTCCTCCATGCTGCGAATGTAAAATCGTGCGTTTTCATGTAAGGACGTCCCCCAAACTCGAGACATTTTGACATCCCTCGGTTTTCTAAAAAGGGAGCTGTGCTAAATTTAGTTTCTCTGAACCAGGCTTGCGTTAGGTGGTTAGGGAATAAACAGAACTAGATTTAATGTTTTTGCTTGTACTAATACAAAAGTGTGTCTATCTTGTCTTGTCTGTGTCCTCAGATGTTGCAGGAGGTAGTAGCTAAAACACTCAAACACCATGGGATCACTGCTGAGCATGATTGCTTTGAGGCTTGCAGCAAAAGACTGTTTGATATCTCGAAATTTTATCTCAAGGTTTGTCTTTTTACTGCCCTCTCAGAGTCAGTGTTGTGCTTTTGTTTGACACTTTCATTATTTGTATTACTCTATGATTCCAGGACTTGTGTTTTGTATTGTATCCTTCTGTATACTTCTTACTATGCCAGCAACTGGAACCTTTAAAAAAAGCCTTTTTCCCACTACTCACTTTTTAATTTCTTTGTGCTTCCTTGTGTTTCTTAATCATCTGGTTTTGTTTCACAGTGTACTCAGATCCTTTACTTAAATAGCTATAAATCGATGTTAATTTCAAGATTTTCTGCCTTTTTCTAAGACGCTACAGGGAACCTAAGTTTACAGTGCTGTGTAAAAGTCTCGAGCTGCCAGTTTTTCTTAAAGCAATAATTCTCCAGGCTTTCAAAGGTTTTCTTTGGCCATTTGGCTGCTTTTTCACTCACTTTCAGTCCAGTGCTTTCTGATGATTTTCAGAGGAATGTTTTTTGTTTGTTAAGCCACTTCACACTGACCTATGAATCATTCAAGCGTCAAAGAAAATCCCCTGACTTGATGGATGAACAACTGTTGTCTACATATAACAGAAAACTTGACAAAGAATCAATTTTAAATTGTATTTTTAAATACTTTGTTACTAGCAGCCTGTCACAAACACGTAATGTGTTCCCATTTCTTTACTTGAATCTAAAAAAAGAGCAAAATGCCAAAGAGAGCACAGTTTGACAGGCATAAAATATTATTTTTGCACTAACAAGCTGATTCCTAAAGAGCTATTGGCTGAAAATATGGCATATCTCGACATGTCTTACTGTCCTTTAAAAAACCTGAGGAAACTTAGGAAGTGGAGTACAAAAGAAGAGACCTAAAAACAGGTTCTCCAAGACATCTCATTAAGAAACAAGAAACGAATCCAGAAAAGACCTAACAGATGCATCTGGCCCTTCAGTTGATCCATCTACTGTTCACTGAAGCCTCATCAGAAATGGTCTCAGTGGAAGGCTGCCTGTCGAGAAAGCCATTCATAACAAAGGGAGAAAAGGCTGAGGTATTCCAAATCACACAAGAACAGGACTGAAAATCAGTGGCAACGGAGTGAAGAATCCAAACTAGACATATGTACAGAGGAGGTCAGGAGAGAGATCCAAAAGTGAGTGTTTACAGCACAGAGAAAGCTCTGTCATGGTTTGAGGCTACATTTCAGCCAGTGGTGTTGGAGATCTTGTCAAAATTAATGGTATTATGAACTCAGAAAAATACAGCTTTTAATCCACCAGCTGGAAATGATCTGATACTGAGCTTTGTTGATGCTTGTTCCCAGGATCTGAGGACATCTCGGGGTCTGCATGATGAGATGAGGAAGGCAGCAAGCAGCAATGTTAAGCAGGTAATGCTACAAACATTAGCGTCTCTCTGGTTTAGTTTTTCAAGTCACACATTTATAATCACATTTTTCTGTTGCAGGTCATTGATTGGGTATTGGAGAAGACCTCAAAACAATAAAGATGATAACAAATCAGGTTGGTTAGAGGAATTTGGCTCAAAAAGTCAATTTTCTGTGGTGTCTTTGTTTTTGTTTTTTTAAACATTCATGACAACATTTGGACTTTCTAAGCCTTTCCAAATTGGTTCTCTAATTGTTACATTAAGTCTGTTTTAATCAACTTAATCCTTTATTTAATTTGGTTTTCCTTCATTTTTCAGGATCCCCTATAGCAGCCTGTCGTTTTAAGCTTTTGTTTGTGCCTGGTTTTGTGCTCATCCACCCTCATATACTCCTGCTGCTCCAGAGCCAAGAACAGAAAAACACTCATATCTACATACACTCTGCTCCTCCTGCTGAGAAGCCCCAAGGGCTTTGGATGCTGGCTTCAGGATGAAGATGTCTTTTCTCTGTAGCAGTTTTCTAACCCCCACTACTTATTTTATTCTAAATTACTGTCGTTGTTAGGTTGTTAATTTGCCTTTATGAATGTACAGATGTTTTTGTTTTGTATTTTCCTGTTTATCACAATAAATGCATGTGGGAGCACTTTAACCCCCAGGAAAGACACTGTGTCTGTGTGAAAACTATACAATAAGCTTTGCAGTTGGTGTTGTCTTCCAAAAACAGATGATGATGATGATGATGTCCCATTCTGGATGGTAGCTGTTGTGCAGACGATGAAAACAAAGCCAACAGCAGTGCAGCAAAATATGCTTTGCTAATTATAACTGACGGTCCAGCTTGTCGTAGTTTGGTTTGATTTCAAACACATCAGGAACATACTGCTATAATTTCACCATCTTTATAAAGAAAACTACTCACAGTCAGCTTTTCACAACTGGTACCACAATTACTTTTTTCCCCCCCAAAGAGAAGCTGACCGCAGGTTTCTGATTCCCAAATTAACATGCAAAACAGCTTTTTCTGTGATGATTTTTGTCTGGGTATTACTTTATCTGGTGGAACAAGATTACTATACACTGTTTTATTACTGTGCACGAGAAGCAGACTCCAGCTAGGCCAAATATGGTGTGGAAGGCTCATGTACTGTTACAGAAATAATTTGATCAAGTTGTTTGGACTCAGAGGCACTCTGGTGAAAAGCAAATAGCATATCAGTACCAAATCCTCATGATTTGGGCTAGTTTTGGAGCCAAAGGACCTGAGCACTTTGCAGTTATTGAGTCAACCACGATATCAGGTGGGGGTCATGCAACAGGACAATGTTATAACAGAATGACTGAAAGAGAAAAATCAAGGTGTCGCAATGATCCAAACCTCAATGAACTAAATTATCGATATAAAGAAGATAATTTTGTTCAAAATTCTTCCACAGTTATCTGAAAAATCACTTTCTGTACAATAAAGTCATACAGAAAGTGATTACTTCAAGCTATTGCTGCTGGAGGTGGTTCTATGAGTTATTTGCAGTCCTTTAAAGATTTCTTTTTCATTTTTCCCGTTTTAACTGACCCACAGTCCACTGCCTGGAAGACTGGTTGAAAATTATTAAACAGACAGTACTGTGAGAAACAGTGGCGAGCCTGAGACAATGCTATCATTGCCATAATTCAGCAGAAAAATGTAGTCAAGTAGCACTTATTTCAGCACCACCTGGTACCCTATCAACACCAGTGCATCAGTGAGGTATGCTGTGCATAGATATGTGTTTGTGGGAACAGAATGAGTGTGGGACCATCAGTATGTATGAGTACTACGAGTATCAACTAGATTTGTATTATCTACATGTACTAGTTGTGCATGAATCAAGAAAAAAAAGATAACAGTTTACGCCATCCCTCCTACATTTGCGTCACACAAGCTGTGTGGAGGAAAAATGACCAGAAAAGGAAAATACTTTGTAGCTGAGCAGAGAACGAGGCACTAAATACTGACTCTTATCGTTAGTCCTTGGGATTAAGTGATAAGGGAAGCTTAGCTCAAACTCCCAGTATGAAGACCAAAACTTGTTCTCTTGTACATATTTATGCCACAAGATGATGTCAGATATTTTTCAAAGAGGACAGAAACAAAACTGAATTTCTCTGAAGCAAAAACTCCACTGCCAGATATTATATCTACAAAATCTAATGTAATGCTGTGGTCTTGGTTTTGATTTTGGGACTATAAATGATTTACAGGCTTGTTCTGTGGGAACATTAAATGAGTGCAGCAAAGATTAAATGAGTTGGCCATCTGTTGTTGCAACATATAAAATAAATGTTTTTAATGGCCATGGGATGTTCTTGTTCCAGGAACTTCAAAATGAAAGTAAAGAAGAAAGATGTGAAAAAATAGGCTGAAGCAGATTTATTAAAAAAAAAAAAGAGGGATTAGAGGTCTGCTTGCTTCTAAATGGTGTAATATTAAAATAACCTGCAGTATAAATTATTTCAGCCCTCCACTGTTAATGTGCGAGTGAAATGTTGCAGATTATGAGATAAATCTGACCCAACATCCTACACCAATTTCCTAATAGGCAAGTCTATGATAATCCATCTTTTCAACAACATAATCATTATTAATCATAATCTTTACCTTCCCTTGCTTTTTTAAATGAAAAAATATCCTGTGATGAATGTGTAAGTGACCATAGCTTGCTGTGAAAAATGTTTTTTCCAGTGACTCAGTAGCTTGTAGACCCACCTTTATCAGCAATAACTTGATAAACTCGTACAGGAAATATTTTTTATCGCTCACAGTTCATTGAGGTTTGCAAGCATTTGTTTATGCGCAGCTCGCTGAAGGTCACGCTGCAGCATTTCAGTCAGGTTGATGTCTGGACTTTGACTGGCCATTGCAACAACTTGATTCATTCTTGCTTTTGTCTTTCGCATCATTGAATGAATCATTGAATGGTCTGGCATGAACTCTTCAATATTATAATGACTGCAAGGTGCCCAGGTCCTGTGGCTGCAAAGCAAGCCCAAGCCATCACCCCTCCACCACCATGCTGACAGTTGGTATGATATGTTATTTATTTTTTACCATATGTGCTGTGCATCGTGGCTGGACATCTCCCTTTTGGTCGTGTCTGTTGCGAGGACATTTTTCCAAAAGTCTTGTGGTTAGATGCAACTCTGCAAACACAAGCTGTGCTCCATTGTTCTGTTTAGAGAGCAAACACTTTCTTCTGGCAACCCTTCCAAACAAATCGTACTTGTTCAGCCTTTCACTAATTGTGGCATCATGAACTTTAACATTTACCATGCTAACAGAGGCCTCTAGAGCAGCGGTACCCAACCCCCAGGCCTCGGACCGGTACCAGTCCGTGAGTCGTTTGGTACCGGGCCGCGAGAGTTGAGGCTCAGGTGTGAAATGTATAGTTTTCAGGGTTTTTAATCGGTTTTCAGCG